GTTGTATTTATTTTATTTTGTGGTTTTTATTTATTTTTTGAAAACTTATTGTCTAAAAGTTTACAAACTGATGTTATACAAACACATTTATACATAAATAAGTACATATATATATTTCTTAAGTTTTTTTTTCTTGCTTTTGTTATAAACAGTTTGATACTTGGACATTTATTTACTGGCTCTATATAATTGACAAATATACAATTTTCTTTCAAATGGCTTAAATGGCTTGAGTGTGTAGTCATTCGTTTTGCATGCATAATTTTTTCTAAATCATTACAATCATCATTTCTTAATGCAAACTGCAAAACAAAGAATTAATTAAAATTTCAATGTCATAAAAAAAGAAACTGGCGTTAGTTTTAACAAATCGGTCATAAGAAGTGAAACATTTTTTTTAATGGTATACAATTATTGTTTTTCAGTTTAGTTTCTTTTAAGAAAATTCGCATTTTACTTTGCATAAAATGCAGCAAGTCCAATATTATGTCATTTAGTAGTTTATTTAGGTGTCAACGCAAGTGTGTTTGTGTGTTGTTGTGGAGTAACGTGGCTTTAAATATTTTTACTGAATTTTTTATTCAATAACGATGTATGATGTTTAAGTACTTTTAATCGCTAGTATTGTTTAATTTAATTTTAATTAATTTTAAAATGCTTTTTTATTAATTTATGTGTCTTGCACTATTTAAAGTTAAGTTGTTTTCAAATTAAGGAGCGGCTGTAGTTAAATTTTGTATGAAAGTCATGTATTGAAAAAAATTACAACGATTACTTTTAATTATTTTACTTACAACCGTGCAACATGTTGGGGAGTCTAGTATATTTTTATTAATTTTAATTTCACTAATTATATGCTTTGAAATTTAAATTTAATTAAACAAAAATATTTGATTAAATTAAAACATTTTTTTAAATTAAATTCATTTTTAAAATATTAACCGTTTGCTTTAAAATAAAAATTTTAATCAAAAATATTAATTAAATTAAAAATGAATTATTTTAATTAAAATTAATTACTTTTAAATATAAAAATATTTAGAGAACTGATTTTTAATTAATATTAAGATTTTTAAATAATTAATTATTTATTTATTTTTCTTAAAATAATTTTTTTTAGTTAAATAAAATTTGGAAATTCAATTTTTGTATTAATTTATACTAATTAATTCAAAATATTTAGGAAATTGTATTATTAATGAAATTATTATTTTTGTTCTTAAAGAGTTTAATTATTTATCTTAGGTACTAACAAAAAAAATATTAAATTACCTAAATCATTTTATATTTAAATAAATAAATAGTTTAAAAATAAATTTCCTGAATAATTTTTGATTAAAAAGTTATTTTAAAATTAAAATAAAGAATTAATAAAAATCCAATTTTCTAATTTTTTTTATTTAAAGTATTTAGTTTTATTAATTAATTAAAATAACTTAATTCATGGAATTCAATTAATTTCTTTTAATTAAAAATTTTATTATTTATTTATTTTTATAAAAGAATTAGTAAATTAGAATTTAATTTCGCCAATGTTTTTACATTAAATTTTAAAAACATTAAATTTTTACCAATATTTTTTATTTCCATTTGTTATTCGAACGTTTGCAGAAAACAATTAAAAACTCTTTTGCTTTTTCAAAGTATAAATTTAAATATTTTCCGGTTTAGATTTTTTATTTAAAAATATTTATTTTTAATTTAATATATTTTAATTATTATTTGTCTCCTGGCTTTACATTTAAAATTATTTTTAAAATTTAGTTTGACTAATAAGATAATTTTAATAAAAATCATAATTTTTACATTTAACATTTTTGTTTTTTTACAATTTTCTTTTTGCATGTTAAAATAGTTTTGCGATTTTAAAATTTTAGTTTTATTTTTTTATTTTTAATTAATATAAAAAAAAAAAAATTTTAAAACTTTTATTTTAACAAGATGTTATGTTTTAAAAATTTTGAAAACATTTTAACATTTTTTTTTATAAAAATTTGAATTTTAGAAAATGTTGTTTCTTATGTTGAAATTAGTGTATTTCAATTTTATCCAAAAAAGTAATAAGAGAGTTATACAATATTTAAAAAATTTACAACAGAAATTTTCAAATTTTCTATTATATTTTAAGCTTGTTTCGTGGCCAAAAATAACATTATAGTTTGATAATTCTTACATTTTGCAAAAACTTGAACATTTTATTACTGTTTTAGTTTATTAAAAATTGTTTTTGCAGTTTACTGTTTCTTGTGTTGTTTAGAAATCGCTCAATTATTATGTTGAAAATTAAAGAACTCAAAAATTGTATGCATAAATTTAAATTTCAAATTAATATTTTTGTGTATTATTTCAAGCTAATTGTACATGTTGCACGGTGTATTTTTTATTTAAATTTTTCATTTATACTTTCTGTTTGCTTTGAAATCGCCTTTTACTTGCGTCTCTGATTTTTAAAACCACAGGTTCCCATATTTTTTTTCTTTAAAACTTTTTAAATTTTTTTAATATTTTCCAACATATTTTTCGTCTTAAATTTTTTTTTAGTTTTTATACATATGAATATTTTTCAAGTATAATTTATAGGAAACTTAAGCCGTCACTTCACTTATGTATTTATTATTTGTCAAACATCAAGATACTTAGTCTGTCGTAATCACTCACATAAAGAAGATATTGAGTGAAAATATGCATATTTTAACAAAACTTTTACACAAATTTTTAAGAATTTTCTTTCTTTTAAAGTAGGGTGAAAAAATGTGCACAATTACTTTTAAACATACATTTTTCTATGCAAATTCGCAAAATGTGCGCTCTAAAATAGCTCACAATCGAGTGCAGCTCAATTTGCCACTCAATAATCACTCGCGAAACGCTCATAATATTGAGACTATTTGAATAAACTAAAAAGCAATACGCATGTAAATACTTATGGGTCAATATTTTAACAGAAAACTGTACTTATTTGCTACATACAAACATTAATGCCATTGTAACGGCTAAATAATAGAAGACTCTTCTTCTCAATTCTAGTAGTTGTGAGATGCAGAGGACCTAAAACTACAACTAAAGTACTAAACTATAATTAAGTATCGTAAATAAGTGAAATATTTTAAAATATGCATAATGCAGCTTAGAAGATTTGCAGTGTCTACCGAACGGAGCTCGGAGTTTTTTCTGTTTTCTTTTGTTTTTGGTACATAGGCTTACATTTCGTAAGAGATTCTCCAGGAATCATTACAAATCATTGTCTTAAGTATGTGTATATGTGTATTTGTGATGCGAATTGATGGGTTCTAAGTCTATAGGTGTGTGCGTGTGTGCGTGATGTTCATATGCTGAGTTTATAAACCAGGTTTGGTATTATCATCAATACCGCTGCTGCTGCCTGCATCCGACGGTATTGGACTAGCAGTGGCGCTGCGATCGTAGTCGGAGCTAATGCTCTGATTGGAAGTAATTATTTCCTATAAACAGCAAATGGTAAATATAATATATCAATCAATCTTAAACCGAGCTTAGTACGAAAATACAACAACAACAAAAACAGATAAGAAATTTATGCTAAGAACACAGTGAATCGGAGTGACTGACAAAAACTAAAGGAATAAAAACAAGTAAGGAAGGGCTAAGTTCGGATGTAACCGAACATTTTATACTCTCGCAAAGTCAAATGGTATACTCGTTTGAGATTTCTTTGTGGATTGACTGATATTTTCGGTAGAAGGTCAACTATAGGCACTGGGGTCCACATATTTAGTACTTAGGGGTTTGAACAGTTTTGGTTCGATTTAGACAATTTTTGGCCGCAAGGTGGCATGCTTTAATTGCATTATTCACGCAAAGTTTTACCCCGATATAATCATTGTTACCTGATTTGCATAGTGGAAAGTGAAAGAATCAGATGGAATTGAAAAAGGTGTTATATGGGAAATAGGCGTGGTTGTAGTCCAATTTCGCCCATTTTCGCACTATGATATAGAAACATGAAAAGAACGTTATGCACCGAATTTGGTTGAAATCGGTTAAGCAGATCTCAAGATATGGGTTTTCACCTAAAAGTGGGCTGTGCCACGCCCACTGTCTAATTTTGAACGCGGTTCCTATAAAGCCAATTTATACCATCTCAGAGATAAAATTTAATGTCTCTGGCTTGTTTAGTGCTTGATTTATCGCGCTTTTAGTAGTTTTTAACAGTACCGTTATATGGGGAGTGGGCGGAGTTGCCACCCGATTTCAACTATTTTCACACCGTCAATAGAAGTGCTAAAAAAATTTGCTTCTAGTGAATTTTGTTATTATAGCCTTAGCGGTTTAGGAGATATGCACATTAAACCTATTAGAGGCGGGACCACGCCCACTTTTAAAAAAAAAGTTTTAACTGCAGATGCCCCTCCCTAATGTGATCCTGTGTACCAAATAACAGTCTTGTATCTTATTGCGGAGCTTAGTTATGGCAAGTTATTTGTTTTTGATTAATGGCGTTTTGTGGGCGTGGCAGTGGTCCGATTACGCCCATCTGCAATACCAACCGACCAACCTGCAATACCAACGAACCAACATGTCTACATGTCAAGTTAGAGCTTGCACGGACGGACGGACGGACGGACGGACAGACAGTCACCCGGATTTCAACTCGTCTCTTCATCCTGATCATTTATATATATATAACCCTATATCTAACTCGATTAGTTTTAGGTGATACAAACAACCGTTAGGTGAACAAAACTATTATACTCTGTAGCAACAGGTTGCGAGAGTATAAAAAGAGTCAATGTGATTAGATTTTATACAACGTGACCCAAAAACTATATTCTACTACTGGATAGCTGGGCTTCGCAGGTGCTTTACCAGCGATGGGCCACCATCGGTTCACGCGCTGTCGCATGATTTTTTTGGAACAAAATCGATCAAGAGAGATTCAGTGAGCTCTTTGCCCTCAGTACGGCTAACCTTTATCTAGTTGTGAGGGTTCTAACAAGTCATTGTCATATCGGTGCAGTAATATTACCGGATGCTAGCTTCAGAAGCTGTATGGAAGAGGACGAGGTAGAAAAATTTCAACAATTCCTTCTTAATTGTCCCGCGATTGTGAGATCAAGGCTTAAACACTTCGGAGCTCATACTTTTAGACATCCCACCGAGATGGTGGGAATAGAAATTAAATGTCTGAGTAAATTTGTACTGACTACAAAGCGAAATATTATAAGACAGCAAATAATATCGAAAATATTTTTTCATAGCTTCAGAACGGACTGCATATAGTAGTCCATGTGCGATCTATGGAACAACCATCGAACTTAAGATAACCCAACACAAAGTTGAAACCGTTATATTATAAATGGCAGTTTTTATCGATTAACCACGCCTATTTACCGAATCTCAGAATATTAAGCAAAATTTAACCGTTATATGACAAGTGAACATAGTTTTTACTCAACATCTTTCAGGTTATGTAATATCAACAAGAAGCTGCAAACTCACCGAACCAAATCGAATATTCGTTGATGAAGCATACCCACGTGACACAACCTTTAGATAAAGTAAGCAGTAAAACACTAACTTCGGCTACACTGAAGCTATAAGATCCTTCAGAGGTGATTTTTTGTATCATAAAAGGGTATAAAAAGATATTTTTCTTGATTTTGATCGATCAATTTGTATGGCAGCTAGATGTTTTAGCGGTTCGATGTGAACAATCTCTCAATCAAATCAAACAATATTTGTCAAATTTCGTGACGATACCTTGTCAAACATAAAAGTTTTCCATAGGACTTGAGTTGCATCGGTCAGTTTGTGTGGCAGCTATATGCTATAATTGTCCGATATTGTTAGTTCCGACAAATGTTCAGCTTCTTTGTGAGAGAAGGACGTGTGCAAAATTGCAGGTTGATATCTCAAAAACTACGGAACTAGCTCGCGTATATGCAGACGGGAATGGTTAGGTATAAAAATATATAGAAAATATGGGCACACTTTCTAAACAGATTCTCACCTAAACACGTTTTTTTTTTTTGTATAAAACCCATTATCTTAGGATATAGGCAATCCTGAAAACATCCTTCTTATATTCTAACACTGAAGTTTGGCATGCATAAGTCCACGAAAACTTATGCCTGAAAATCGTTATATGGTGAAAAGGCTTGCTCTCAATTTTGTCATCAAAGTTAGATAACTTTATATTTGAATAATAAAATACATATGCTCTGAAATTTATTACTAATATATAGAGCTGGAGTCACCGACAATTCAGTTAAATATCCCCAAGCAGATTGAGAACACCCTAATTGCTGCCAAAAAAAATAATTACCGCTAATTAAGCTAATCCCTCAAATGCAGCAATATCTTACATATAAAAAATCTCCCCAATCCAATGTGCACTCAAATTTAGCTATCAATTAACTTACGCACTACAAAAACTCACCTCATCCGCTTCGGTATTCTTAATAATCGCTTCGGGTGTGTGCGCTTCGGCCGCTTCAGCCTTCTCTGCCCACTCTTTCAGGTAATCCACAATGGCATGATGTCCGAAATTTTCCGCTTCATCAATCGGTAAATTACCCCAACGATCCTTTGGATTATGTGGCACTTGACAGTGCTCCAATAAAAATTTCACACAGTCCAAATGACCTTCGGAGGCGGCTAAATGTAGTGCCGTTCTACCATCATAATCGGCCAATGTGATATCCATGCCGGAGAGTCGATGACGTCTCAATGCTGTCACATCACCGCTGGCCGCTGAGAAGAGCAAATTCACAATTGACAGTCCCTTTGTCTCGTAACGATGTTTACGTGGATCCTTCTTATCCGATGCATGTTTGAGATTATCATAACGATGGAAATTGAAGGCGCTCACTAATTCTTCACAGAATTGCACACCACGTACACTATTGCCCAATTTGTCGAGCGGTGGTGACCATGTGAATATGCCCATCACATTTGGTATGACCAACATCATGCCACCGGAGACACCAGATTTGGCGGGAAGGCCAACTTTGAAGGCGAACTGACCGGAGTAGTCATAGGTGCCGCACGAATGCATTATGGAGAGTACATCGCGTACGACTTCGGGACGCAAAACTTTCTCTTCGGTGGTGGGGCAAATGCCACCGTTAGCTAGTGTCGCGGCAATCACGGACATGGCTTCGCAGGTGGTCTCCATAGAGCAGCACTGTGGGGAAAGAAAATAAAAGTTGTATTGAATTGGATTTGTTTTGAACTTTATTAAAATGTCAGTGAGTCAAAAATTCTTATTTTTAAATAGCTTCCTATGTTGATCCTGATTTAATTTCGGGATTGAAAATAAAAAAAAACTTCGAAAAAGTTTATCATACGCATATCGTGTTAATATGCAATTGTTCAAGTAACCAATATTAGCCTAAGTACAGACTCAACATTTTCAAAAGCTTTCGGGATTTTGGATTTTTTTAATGCAATTTGATACATTTTTTTTTTTTTGTTTTTATGATACTGATAATATTTAAATACAAAAATTGTCAGAAATTCCAAATTATATATTATTTTTAAGTATTCCAAAAAATTAAGGTTTGAATATTTTATTTAATTAAGTTTTTAAATGTTTTTTTTTTAAATTAACTCACTCACCTGGAAGTAGAAGTCCATGACCTCTTTGAGATTCGTACGCTTCGGATAGCATTTATTTTCACGCATGTAAAAACCCAAAGCATAATTACGATCGGCCGCCTCGCGTTCCGACAGGAACACGGCATTATTAAAACCGATATTCTCCCCGCCCGACAAGCGTTTAAACCAATGCAGTGTGTAATCGAATTTCTCAGCTGCCGTCATATCTGGTTTGATCAAAGCCTGCAGCAGTGAGCAGGTTAGAATCGCGCCCGCATTGATCATAGGGTTGTGTGGCTTGTCTAAAGTGACACAAAATGTAAATAAATAACAAAAACAAATCAATAAAATAAATTAAATGAGAAATTTTACAGTTTTTATTAAACGCTATGGTCGACTTCCGCACACTTACTGTTATGATCCAACACCAATTCATTGAAATTGCGACCACTTGGCTCTTGGCCCACATACGAATGCACCACCTTCGGTCCCAGCTTCTCCAAGGCAATGGCGTACGTCAACGGTTTGCTGGAAACACAAATTGTGCAGTGATTTAAATCGATTGAAATAATTACGAACCTTTACATTCTTCAATGCAACATATGCATTAAAACAAACAAACACAAACAACACAAAATGAGTGAGGCAGTCGTGAAGGTGAAACATAGATATGTAGATGATTCACAGTGGCGACGGCAGGGTAGCTAGGTGGTCATAAGAAAACTCAAGCCAGCGTTCGAAGAGCCGCACACTCAATGCTGCTTGCAAAGACTTAAGTCACCGACGGACACGTTATCCATTAGATAAATGTAATGAAAACGCAATTTATCACCTGATTACTTGGAATACGCTCACGCCACGCTCACGCCAAGGTGGGTAGCGAGCGCGCTCTGAAAGAAGTGTAATTAATTCGTGGAACATTTGCAAATGAAGTGTATATTTATAAGTATGTACGTCGGTATGCACTCGTAGGCAAGTATGCATGTGGGTCAGCTTCGCATCATCACCCAACGCCGGGAAGTACCGGTCGCACTGCCCCAAAAATGTTACGTTGCGTGTCGTTGTCCGCTTGCTGAAGCTTTACGGCAGTGATACGGTTGCTGGTACGGGTACGGGGTGTATCTTGATATGAACTGGTTATGTGTATGAAGCAGAATGAGCAACACCTGCTCACATACACATATGGTTGCATGTATGTGATTATTTTCAAAACACATTTTGTGGTTTTTTTCTCGCTCTCATGCATTTCTATTGACAAATTTACCTGCAACTCTGCAAAGTGAACGGTATATCCACATCGCCAATGGAGTAACGTTGCCCGTCGATCGTACAGATGCTAACACCCCACGAATCGGAACTGTAGCGTGCCAATTGTGGTATGTAATTGGCTACGGCGCCATCGGCGTTCGTCTTACATTTCCAGTAGATATCCTCGACATCCTTAACGAAACTCACGAAATCAGGTATGATGAATTGTTGACGGAAAGCCTTGGCGATCAAGACGATATTCTGTGCTACAACGCTGGAATGAAAGAGTAAGTGAAAAACAGAGTTAAGATCATTTCGGTTTACTCGATATACATACGACTCAATGCTTTCAAATTGAATAGCGCTAATATCCTACGAAAGCTCATCGAAAATATAAGTTATGCATTAGTCTCTGTATTAGCGGTGCGTATGCTTTTTACTCACTCCATTACAGGTCACAACCTACCGGTATCACATGCGAGCCAGATTGGCATAAATAACGAAGATATATGCCGAAAGTATGCATGCATGAGAGATATGCTGGAACACTCCCTATGCATCTGTTCAACCTTATCTAGAACTCGTTTAGATATCTAGGAGCTTCATAGTTGTAAAGACTATCAAAATTAGGTATCAAGTCGCTTTTAAAGTTCGCAAAAAGCGTTGACCTCCTGTATGACGAATACTTCAGGTCAAATTTAACTGAACCTCCATCTAGCATTACTAAAGCTCAGTAGGTCTACATATGTATGGCATGATAGCCGGCCGGTATAACCTAACTTGACCTACCGGTAATGCAAGAAAAAAAATAACAGTTAGTGATTGCCCTACGTAGCCTAAATTTATATTTCTCCGAAACGTAAACCGTTTCCCACTAGAGACAAAAATGAGTTAAAGCTTATTTTTTTACTAATTTTACTTTACTTGGGCCTTTTCAAGTTTTTTAGTTCTCAAAAGTCGATAAACAATAAATTTGTATAAAAAATCCTATCAAAGGTCTTTCTACGGCATAAAAAGCTTTAGCAGAAGTTTGACATACTTAAAAAAGAATGAAAAGAACGCTTACTAAAAAGAAGAGAAAGAAACCGGTTTGAAAATATTAATGAACGATAATTTCTCGATAATGTAAGGGAGTTTTCGAAAACCTGGTAAAACTTCCTGAAAATGCGTTAACTTCCAAACATTTGGCTCAATAATTGTAGTCCTACCGGCAGGAAGGTAGATATTAGAGTAGTTTGGGACCCTTCAAAATTATAGAAAATCATTGGGTTCTTTCAAAAATATTTCAAAAAACTTGTCATAAAAGCTTTCAGCTGTACGTTGGAAGCTGTCCCATCATTTATCAATCCAATCAAATCCTTAAGATACAGAATCATGGTGCTTTATAACTACCGAATTATTTTGATAAACTTATTCCGAACTTTATTAAATCACCAAATTTTAATTTTTTAGTTATTATTCAACATTACTTACGCTTTAAACGTTTCACGATTCAAATTTTGCGTTTCCGCCGACGAACCAGTCTCATAATTCGACAACTTATGCACCTTCTTCAAATTCTCCATCAATTCACGTATGCGTGGATCGCTGCGCCTAATGCCGGTGGTCTTGAGGGCGGCCAAAAATTTTCCCATCGATATAAGTCCGGTCTCCTCGTTGTAGAACATATCGAAGAGCACATCTTCGGCGTTGCGTTGCTCCTGCTCCCGATGACTGTTGTTATTCGACGAGGTTGTAGAAAGAATTTTGCAAAAAAATGTAAAAGAAATTAATTAGCAAGTGATTGGTAAGTGATGCTTTGTTTTTCTAATCTAATTTTCGAGCATTAGTTAGTAGCAATGTGTCAAAAGTTAGCAGAGTGAAAAGCTGTTAGTTAGTACATGTGGGCATCTTATTATGGTACATATGTAACACATGCACACACATACATATACATATACATGTATATACCAGCAAATGTTTACATATACATATGTAGTAAATATGTACATAGATATATACATATATGTATGCATATATATATAAATATGTATGTTGTTAGTATGTATCGTCTCGTTTTATACAATTGATGTTTGTCTATATGTATGTGGAAAGGTATGAAAGATTTGGTTGAAAAAACCCAACAACTATATACTTTAAGTACTTATGTATAAGTAACAGGCATATAAATCAAATAACATAACATATACATATATTTGTATGTATGCTGCACTTCTGTAGTGTCCATGCCATCGAGTATGCTTGAGTGGAGAGCAGAGATATGAGCGCAAGCAAATGTAGGCAGGTGAATGTGAACGGAAATGTTTGCATACTTTTTGAGATTTAAGTACTTGTCATAAACGTCACTTAACTAACGTTATTTTCTATGTACACTGCCATGTATCCACTCATTCATAACAATCATGTTATTGTAGTAGAGAATGTATGAGTGAATATGAGTATACCTTAGTTTAGGCTATAACTAATCGAGGTGAGACATTTGTAAAGGAATTTGGACTCACAACGCTAATGAATGTTATTTTGAGATGATAATTACATAATAGACGAACGACATGCAAATCAATGTTTTGTCTGCATTTAATGTTATGTAAATTTTTTGGACGCCTTCAAAGAGTCGTACACACGTGTGTGATTCAAGTGTACATTTTTTGCAGGTTTTACCAAAAAAAAATACCTTTTTTAAATAGAAAATAATTTAATACTTATATATTTTTATATTGAAGGCTGCAAATTGCTTAATTAAACAAATTTAGATTAAAAATTTTAAATTGAATTTTTCAATCCGAAAATCGGAATTAAAATTTTTAAATTTAATTTTGAACTCAAAATCGAAATAATATGTTAGAAATTTGATTCTTATCCGAAAATCGGCATCAAAAGTTGGAAATTAAATTTTGAATCTCAAAACCATGATGAATGAAATATTTTCTGTATAAAAATGTAATGCCTTAATCCGATAATCGGAATAGAAAGTTGGACATTTAATTGTGAATCCCGAATTCACATTTTTAATATAAAATTTTTGGATTAAAAATGGGAAATTTAATTGTGAATCTAAAAATCTGAGTTAAATGTTGGAAGTTTAATTATTTAATCCGAAAAGCATAATTAAAAGTTGGACATTTAATTTTAAATTCAAAAACCATGATGAATGAAAAATTTTTAGATTAGAAATTGGAAATTTTTTCGAAACTGCAAATTGGAAATATAACTTTGAGTACCAAAATGGAATTTAATGTTAAAAATTTAGTTTTGAATGCGAAAATAGAAATACTCCAAAACTTTGCTCTTTCTTTCGCAATGCAATCTAAGATTTTTTAGTAATGAATTGTAAATAGGCATTAGTCGAAATCATTTCCCTCAATTTAAGCATCTAAAATACTTAATTGGTTCATCTTTTTTAAGTAACCTATTATTTACGTTAGAACATAACTTGATTTGATGAGAAATTTACTGACTTTATATTTATATTTGCTTGAAATTATGTCAACAATTTTTGCTGCTAAAATCTATAATATTAAAAAAAATTAACTAAGGCGCTGTAGCATGTTGGAACCTAGACGACTTGAGTAAAGATATAGATATGAAAATTTATTAATCAGTAATTTGAAATGATAATTAAGATAAAAACGGACAGCTAATAAAGGCTTGGATGTAGGAAAGGATTACATCTCATAATTGGGAACAAAGATCCAAACATGATGCCATTTAAGGTTTATATTCTCACAACGGATAAAGTGTAGGACTGCTTTCAGACTTCTTTATAGTGCTAGGCTCAAGAGTAATTTGAAAACACATTACCATTAAAATGCAAGTTTCTTGGTCTCCAGCATATGACCAACTGTATCTCTAAAGCTCCAGATAGCCCGTTTCGAAATCCATATTCCACTTATTTTTTTTCGTTTTGCTTTTTTTTAGTTCAAGTCAGATTCGGAAGTTGAAAAATGTCAACTATTTATAAAGAACGATATATAACTTTTGTTAAATCCAAAAATTTATACATTTCGATGGAATTAATAAGTTAGAATATGGAATTTTGAAATGGTTAGGCGGCTATAAAGCGTGTATATATGGATAAATATATTTGCTGTTTCAGTCGGAAGTCCAGAATCATATTTTGAATTAGTTCAAACAACTACTACGATTATATGTAGGTTTCAATATGTGGATCTTCAATATCGGCTTCCAACTTCAAGGCTATCCAAAAGTTCGGCAATTAATCAGAAAAATTTTCTGGAATCGAAATGAAGGAAAAACCAAAAAAAAATATATATATATAGACAAATTATGTCTAAAGCTTAACCTTTCTAATTTTTCACATTATAATTATTGAAGATACTAATACACGATGGATCGCATGGAAATAATGTTTTATCATTTGAAAGCATCTAATGGTGTGTTCAAAGTAGCATATCTATAAAATTGGTGAAACTTTTAACGAGTTTTTGGGCTATACCGAAAAAACTGTGGCTCCGTATACTATTTAAGAGTATTCGAAGAATAAAGTGAAAAATTATTGCAAAAATTTGGTTTTGAATACTATCTCTATCAGCGACTATTTTGCCTCAATGGTTTACTAAATTTTAATCTACTAACATTAGACGTTCTAAGCTGTCCAAGTGAGATACCTGTTAAGATCGACCTCTTAACCTCATCTAACCTAACATTAGGTTAGTGCTTGCTGTCGAAAACTTGTGGTCAGAGAACTGATATTTCAAACCTGTGTATATTTTCTATATTTTTTTTTTGCTTTGCATTTTGTACAGCAACCAATAAGCAATATTTATTATTATGTAATTATTTTATAATATTTGAAATATTAACAAAAAATTAAAAAATTTTGAAAACAATTTTTTTTAAGTGTATATTTTTCTAAACCCTTACCCATCTGTTGGATCGTTTTCATCGCAGTCTGTTTCGCCCATATATACGTTAGAACCTGTGGTGCTAATCATAGAATATCTTTTGAGTTGTTTAGTGTATATTATTACAACAACAATAACCAAATTAATTAAGCAAAACAATGCGTTTATGCAAGCAGAAAACAAAGTTTTCGAAGCTAATACAAAACCAAATTTACTTATTTCGAACTGAAAATGTATATGCTTTTTAAGAAGCAACGGACAGACATTGATTACCAAAAAGTCGAAAAAAAATATCGAAAATAACGGTTTATTAAATACTATAGAAATTTTCAAAACTACACAATTGAAATAATGCAGCTCACAGGAGCAATTACTACAATCAATGCAACAGCAATAACAACAACAAGAGATAAAGAATTTCAAAGTAACGGAATAGTAAATGAAATTACTTTATTATATGCGCAGATAATGCATTAATAATGAATTTTATGAAAATGTAATTATATAAATAACGGTGTTTATAGAAATGATTAAAGATTTACTAAGAAGAAAACTTTCTAAAATTTATTTGTAAAAAGTAATAAATTAAATTATGCAATATTTTTCATGTTTTTTTTTTTTGTTTGTTTTCGGAATAAATCTACTCACGGTCGCATCGATAAGAAACGCTTCTGTAGGCTAGACCAAAGCGAATTCGTTGTTGTGGGCAAAAAAAAAAACAAAGAAAACGAAAAGACATTGTACATACATGTAACGGTATTTAAAAGACACTTGAAATCGAACAATCTAAACAAATTAATGCAATTAATTTGAATATTGCTGATTTTCAAATGTGTTTGCTGTCTGGTATGTATATACATATGTATGTACATCAAGTATACATAAAGTCATACAACACTTCGTATGTGTATATATGTACATGTGCTGAGTTTGATAGACATTAATTTTGCAAAAAAAAAAAATTGGAAGCTTGACAACAATTGACTCATCAAGCAGAGAAGAGTTTAAATTTTATTTTACAGTTAACAGTTCTTTGTGAACACTCACTCACATATATGTATATATTGCTATAAACATTCGAAAGTGGCGCGTGCCAAACGACGCCACTTGACACTGCGAGATTGCGGTACGAAGCGATAAGTTCTCTAAAGACACTGTGCGACAAATAAAAGGCAACGAGAAATCTTTAATATTGATAAAGTGATGAAATTAGAAAAAAAATGTTTGACATAAAAATAAACTTCAGAGAAGTGAGTTTCACTTCGGCTTGGACATGTCCTAAATATTTATTTTAATATGTATTAAAATTTTTCAAAAGATAGTTTTTTTTTCAATATTCCAGAAAATATATCATAATAAAATTGTAAAATTGCATACCAATAATATTTGTAAAATTTAATTTAGCAAAGAATTTAAACTAAACTTTTACAAGTTGACAACTCTGCTGCTATCTTATTTTGTAAACCTTGAGACTTCTTACTAGATTTCGTACCCATGTTGAGATTTTCGTGAGCTAACAAATTTCTTTGTCTTCAAACTTACGAAGAATTTGCAACCAAAAATATCTCGGAAAGAAATATTGCCGAAACACTTATTCAGTTTTTGTAAAAACTGTTTTATTTAATCGATTTCATTGAAGAATAGTTTCAAACTGGTGGCAACCTTCGACAGATTTTCTTTGTAAGATGTGAAGTTATTTTTTATTTCAAATTTTCAAACACTTGACAAATTAACTCCAAAATATTTCCGATAGAAACCTTCCTCAAATATATTTCACTTAATTAAAAAACTCTTTTATATGATGTATTTTATTGCTTTAAAATTTGGAAAAGGTAGTAGCCGCTGCAA